GACCACATAGAGCAAACATGAATGATATTTCCCAAAAGGCTGAGGTAAGTGAAAAAAAGCAAATGAAGGAAATGTAGTGTTAAACTGTAGAATTGCTGAGAGGGCAGTTGTTTGACGGAAAGGTAATATTCAGGAGTTCATAATTATAATAACAACATAATGTTGAGATGTAAAACAAGAAGAGATACAATTCGCCAGGTGGTTTTGGGCCAGTATTGTCATTTGAATTCTAAGCTAGGAGGCATGATTTGTGAATGACAATAAAGTGAATGTGATGGCTAGCATCTTGAGTAGGATTTTAAATATCTTGATAAGTCTTAGAAATTATTCTTTCAGTATTAAAAAAAAAATCCAACAAATTTGACCTATACTCACAGGGAAAAGATAATTCACTCTCAGGTGAGGATCCTTCTTAGCTCTTTCTTCCAGTGGCTGCAATAAGATTTTTCTTAGCATTTTCCTGGTTCTTGGCTGTAGTTACTGAGGTTGTACCAAGAAGAGCTCAGTTGCTGGAACCCCAAAATTATAAAGTTAAAAAACTCAAATGGTCAATGACACATTGTAGATTACAAAATCTACAATGGGTTTGCAACAGATTGATTAAGCAATCTGCCATTTTCACTAGGAGAAAGGGTTTGGTGTTCTGAGGCACTGAAGTTTTATTTACTGAAACTTCTTTTAGCGATCGGCTTAATTTTCAAAATAATGAAAATAATTTGTTTTCCTAGTTTTACAGTGACGGAAAATCTTTCCTCCACTGTTCTACCAGATTCTTCTTCTTTGGAAACCTCCTTTGCGATGTGGGAATTTTCCTTTTAGAGCACATCCTAATGGAATGATACAGTCTTCTTGCACATTTCTAACATGGCTTAAGGAAGTTATAGTTGGGCAGCACAGCAGTAGTAACAACATAAATCACTGCTTGTGCACACAGACCGTGGTGCACCTCAACCACAAATGAGGAGTAAAGGACTGGCCTTCACTTTCACTTATATTAGATATAGAAACCAGCAAGTATGTAATACGTGAATTAGGCTTTCAACTTTAAAGCCTCAAAACTTTTGCTTTGTTTTCAACTTCACCAAATTTGCTGAAATTATACTCGATACCTTTTAAGAAAGTGATGTCCTGAATGTTTAATAATGAAATAGGACAATAAAAAATACAGGTTGTTTTTTAACTAGAATTCAGTTTTTGATTTTTGTATTTTACTGGCCTTCCGCTTCAGTGGAACACTACCCACAAAATGGGACTTGATTACTATATATTAATGAAATTTCTACTCTCATATTTTCTGTAATTATATTTTTCATAGTTAGGTTTTAGAAAGTATCTAATCAGGTGGTGGTGGTTCAAATTAAGGTTTCAAACTCATTTCTGTTTTCTGTTTCAATAAAATTTTTTATATTGTTTGTTCTCATCTGTCTTTGCCTAATTTCTTCTTATCTTTTTTTGAGCTTTCTTCTCTTTATTTTCTTCTAATTAAGATTCTGCTTTCTTCATCTAAACCTATCCCAAAAACCTATGTGCCAAAACTTGGCAAGGGTGATGTAAAGGATAAGTTTGAAGCCATGCAGAGAGCCAGGGAAGAAAGAAATCAAAGGAGATCTAGAGACGAAAAGCAAAGAAGAAAAGAACAATATATTAGAGAGAGAGAATGGAACAGGAGAAAGCAGGAGGTTATTTTATTTTACTTTATTCTTGTGAAACTATTCATTTTCATTTTTTAATTTATATTTTATTATTCACATTAATCACATTTTATATTAACTATAATTAAAATACTTTTCTATGTTTATAAGCTAACGTAAAATCTGCATATACTATGATTTAGTCTAATTTTGGACATGTGCTCATATTAATTTATTTAATTATCTAGATTAAAGAAATGCTTGCTTCCGATGATGAGGAATCAGTGTCTTCCAAAGTTGAAAAGGCTTATGTCCCAAAGCTAATAGGTAAGAAACTTGAGGGGTAAATTGTAAATTAAATGACAAAAAAAAAGAATCATGACGAAGTATCCAACTCTTCTTTTATATATTCTTAGGAACTGTTAAAGGTAAATTTGCTGAAATGGAGAAACAAAGACAAGAGGAACAAAGGAAGAGAACGGAGGAGGAACGAAAACGCAGAATTGAGCAGGATATGCTAGAAAAGAGGAAAATTGAGCGTGAATTAGCAAAAAGGGCTGAGCAGGTATCACCACCAAATATTAAGTTGGTATTTGTTTGTGAAACTAATTGTACAAAGTAAAACTAATCAGTATGTTACCTAATTAAAATATTTTAATACAACGTAAACCTAATTAAATAGCATCTAACCTGAAAACAAGATCTTAAGTAAAAATATTTAATATTAGAAACCTAGAAAGATGAGGGCAGAATGTGCCTATTTTAAGATAGAATATTGACATGATTTTTGTTACATATAATCTTATCATTCTGTCCACATTTCCTCACACTGTCCACATTCCTTATTTTTCTTGACATACTAGTGGATTTTACAAAGATGCAAGGCAATTTCATACATAAACTATCCACAAGTACCTAACAAAATACTAGTCTTTTAACAGCAATACTTATAAATGCCGGGCTTTTAAAGCAATACTTTAAGTGCCTTAAATCTATTTGCTATGCTTCCTTCAGTTTCCACTACCTTTCTAAAAAGAAAAGTGACAATGAAAGCAAAGCATGTGCCATACTTTCAGGCCAAAGAAATTTATTTACCCTGGCTTTGCAAATAACCACTTTATGGCACAAATAGCCATTAGTATGGTGGCAAATGATGACATGTGCTTGGTGAAGTATAAAAAAGAATGAGAATTTCCTATATTTTACTCCTTTGTACCTCCTTATCTGAAGAAAGGATGCTGTATACTTTACTACTGCCACTTGCAGTCATTAAACATTAGCATTAATTTTTTCTTTTTTTTTAATTGTCTTTAGCATTAATTTTGTAATAAAATTTCACAAGGGACTAAAATTTTAATATATGAGAATTATTATAAATTATATATTACAAATATAAAATATCTAGATATATAATTATATTTGTAGTGTAATTATATCATAAATTATAAAATGAGGAAATAAAATTATCATAAAATATGTAATTAAAATATATGGTGTTTGGCAGAAAACATTGAGCATGTACATGGGATTAGTCTACTTTTAAATCTTGTGTCCTTTTTCAGCACTGATTATTTTCTAGACTTTAAGACTCACTACAACCCCAATAATGGAATAGGTAGGCAGTGGTTTCTCAAAGAAAACCTGTGTGTGTGTTGAAGTGGTGAGTTTCAATATGGTAAAGACATAGGATTCTCAGACAGAGATGGAAACACAACATGATTATGAAAACGGACCACTTTTTTAGTAACTCTAAATACTTGCTATGTGGCAGGGTGCAGTATAGAACCTTGGTTAATGAAATTTTGGGCCTACTAAATTATTTAAGAATATGAAGGTAAGAGCAAAGTAAATTATTAATAGTAATTTCATCTTGTAAATATGTAAAGCCCAATTTTAAAATGTAATTAAGTACATTTTCCACTCAAATATAATTTAATGTATCTTTAAATATAAGGAGTATGGTATAGGTAGTCAAGAAGAGTCTTTTTGTTTTTGTTTTTAGAGATAGGATCTCTCTCTTACCTAGGCTGGATGGAGTGCAGTGGCGCCATCATAGCTCACTGTAGCCTCCAATTCCTGAGCTTAGGCAATCCTCCTGCCTCAGCCTCCCAAGTAGTTGGGTCTATAGGCATGTGCCACCACACCTAATTTTTTTTTTAATTTTTTGTAGAAACAGGGCCTCGCCGTGTTTGGCCCAGGCTGGTCTTGAACTCCTGGCCTCAAGTGATCCTCTTGTCTTGGCCTCCCAAAGTGCTGAGATTACAGGTGTGAGCCACTGTGCGCAGCTCAAGAAGAGTCTTAATGTTTGTTCGTGAAATCTTCTTGTACAAATCCATAGGCAAGAATGCTATAAAAGGGATCCCTGAGTCAGGGGAGTAGCTGAATATCTTGTTGACCTCCAAGATTCTGAGATTCTAGGATCTTATAATGAATTAACACATTAACTGCCATGTGAGTTGTATTTAATGCACGCTAGTTTTGAGCCTGGGGCCTTGTGAAGCATATGTAACTCACAAGTCTCTTCACCTTGGGAGCCATGTGAACTATTTTTCAAGTTACATATAACTCACACACAGAAAACAATAAAAAATAACAAATTTTTCATTAAGTTAGAAAGGATAGTTTTGTATTCAAAGTTTTTATTCTATTTTCGTAATAAAGCACTATGGCCCCAAGGGAAAAAAATTTTTTTCTAGTGTGGCAGTAAATGTTTTAAAAATGGATATATTTTGTGTACTGGATGTTAGAATCAAATGCCAATAAAATTTCGGGAAGAATCTCGATTTGGTATTATCTGGTTATCATTGAAGATACCCTGATGGGCAAAAGTTAGTCTATCACCTTAGAAAAAGATAAGTTATTGGTGGGAAAAAGAGAGGGGAGAAAAGGAAATTGACTTGGGAAGGAGCAAAAGCAGTTTCCTTTCCATAAAGCGAAAGAAATAGTTGGGAAGCAGCTCTTCAATGGCAGCTTCTCGAAGTCAACAGTATAACTGAACTTCTGATTATCTGGTTCTCTATTAGTATACTGACACCATGGCTACTTAGACAAATTTATCTTTTTCCTTGTTTGTTGAAAAAAAAAAGTATTCTATCTTTTGTTGTTTGGGTGAGAGCTTAAAATGAGACAAGAAGAAAGCGAAAAAAAAAAAAAAATCTTCAAATATACTTTATTATCTTACCGTAAGCTAATAAAGATCTGGGAAGGTTGTAGCAGTAAGAAAAAGAAAGTTGGGGTCAAGAAATTTAGTATTTCTCTTTCCTATGTTCTTCATGTCTGGCTTCTCACCATATATCCTGGATCATTTTATTGAGAAATTAAAATGATTTGTAGAGGAGTTGTCAGTATTCTTTTAAAGGTAAGTCATTTTGTACTATACTTGATCTTAGCCAAAAGGCCAAGAAGCGAGGGGGTGGGGGGGGAGTCATTTTGTAATTATTTTAGTATAGATCCATTAAAATTTTCTTAGTATAATACATCATTTCAATAAAACCTTCACAATTTATGTAGGAAATCAATATTAACAAGTAATTCTGTAACAAAATTATTCTGAAAAAAATAAATTATTTTGTAGTGTACAAAGTTATTCTGAATAAAACTTTTAAAAATAAACTATTATAAAATTGGTTTATGTTTAATAAACTGTTCAGAATAATTTATTTTTCAAGAAATTGGGTACCTTAGGCTCTTAGGCTGAGCCTGGTAGCTCACACCTGTAATCTTAGCACTCTGGGAGGCCAAGGCAGGAGGATTGCTTGAGGCCAGGAATTGGAGACCAGCTTGGGAAACAGAGCAAGACTCTGTCTCTACAAAAAATAAAATAAATAAATAAATAAATTAGCCGGGCATGGTGGTACATGCCTGTTGTCTTAGCTACGTGGGAGACTGAGGTTGGAGGATCACTGGAGTCTTGGAGTTCAAGGCTGCAGTGAGCTATGATCATGCCACTGCACTTAAGCCTGGGCAATAGAGTGAGATCTTGTCTTAAAAAGAAAAAAAAAAAGGAAAGAAATTGAGTATCTTAATAAAATGTATTATTTCTTCTGAGAATATAGAAAAGAAAAGTGGGAGCATGAGAACCTTAGCCAGCCCAGTTCCTATATGAGCCAGGGTATAACAAAATTCCCTTAGTCTGCATAAGGACCAAACTACTTACGGACTCTTTCACTGATTTTAAAAATCAAATTAAAACAATCAACAATCTGAATTCTTACTTTCTAATGGTTCCCATTTTCTCATTGCTTATGTTTTCTTTTCCTGAGATCTAAAACATTGTTTTATTTAAATCACCTATCTTCTCTCAATTCTCAGTTGTTTAAGAACAGTACATTAGCCTTCCCTCAAGCTAACCTAATCGTGTTTCTTATGAGTAATGGCCAAATTGAGCTCCCACTTTTTAAATGAGGCTCTTTCCTACTTAGATCTGATCAAAATATAGAGAAACCATTATGACTACCAGAATTATTTTTCCTTCTAAACTAGCTTTCATCTTTTACCATGCTTTGTTACTGTATAAGTCATATTTTTTCCATATATTTGTGTTTTAAAATGCAATAATGACAATGTTTTGATTGTTAATAAGTTTTCCTTTTGCCAGGGCAGGGACAGAGAATGGAGAAATGTTTATGTGTCTCAGTTTAAATTGCTAATTAAATTAATAATTGCTGCTTGTAAGCTCACAGCCTGGTCATAAGAGTTTGGTCCATTATTCAATTTCCAGATTTATAAAGGTAGGCTTTATCTTAATTTTTTCTTAATATGTTATTTCCTGGATATTGATATGTATCAATATGCAACAACTACTGTAAGGTTTAACCTCCATTTAAAAGGATACATTTGCCTAATTTGAAACAACATAAAACATTTCAAAAATTATAAATTTGAAAATTTGCTATAAGTCACAACAAAATTACTTTTCATTTGTATGTTTAAAAGCAAAAAGCAGAAATCTGATGTAATGTAATGATATGAAATTCTCATTCAATAGATTGAGGACATAAACAATACGGGAACTGAATCAGCATCAGAGGTAAACAGACATTTCCTTTAATGAAACATTCACCTAAAATTATCTGATTCACACATTCTTTTAATCTAAGAAAATATAAAAAGGGCTTTTATTTTACTCTTTTTATTATAAATATAGCGATAACAACAAAAAGAAAGATATATGTTTCTCAAAGCAAGATCATACTTTTGCACTTAGAAACACTATACCTTAGTGTTTTTAAAGAAAAGTATGTTTTGCTTTCATAGTTATATTAGAAAGACAAGTCTCTTTAGTCTCAGTTTGGGATACTCTGCCAAGACTGTATATATTTCTTGAACTGTGTTACTAACAGTTGAGATTGTTGAAAGCTAACCTTTTTAAAAGGCAGTTTTCTTCTCATCATTTGTCTTCTTTCCTCAGAGTTCCTGACAGTTTGTGTTTTGGTTTTCACATACTATGTATAGAGTGCAGTATCTATTACCATGAAGGAATCTTCAACAACCACAAAAATTATAGTCATCTCTTTTAATCTAACAGAATAAGTTAAAAATCGATCAAACAATTTGATGGTGTGCCTAAAACTACAGCCACATAAATTGGGAGCAACTTTTAGGGATATGTGTTATATTTTATAACTCTTGTCCTTAGTTTTGAAAAACGTTAGAGGCAACAATAGATTATGTAATAGAATTAAAATGAGTTAAAAAAATAAATTCAAAATATTTTAATAGGATCAAATGCCAAAGAATTTTATCTATAATATAAATGTTTAATAAATCATTTGGAAATACTGCGGTATTTTCCTCACTAAATATTAGTTTTTTTAAGTACTTAAAAGATTGCATGGAGAGAAAGTCATATGGAGAAACTCTTTTCTGTGTTTAAACAGAATCTGTCCACCATCAAATTGATCTGGCTCACACTCACGTGCACATTCTGTGGGATTAGTGCATGGATGACTAAATTCAGGCAATGTCACTGCAGTTTTCTTATCTGAACAGCTGTGTTAACTCCATCTTCTGGGAAATAGAATGCTTCTTGAACCTTGTCAGCAATGAATTTCAATAAGATTAACTCATAATGCACAATGAATTTAGAGGAGATATTTAATAGTAATCTGCAAAAAGATACTTTTTTGTTCTTCATGATAACATGGATGGCAATGTAAAGGAATTCACCAATGATGGAGGTAAAGTCCCGTGAAATTTAAATTTTGATTAAGAAGAAACATGCTAATTATCTATTTTATAAAATAGGAAGGAGATGATTCACTACTTATAACAGTAGTACCTGTCAAATCATACAAAGCATCTGGAAAAATGAAAAAGAATTTTGAAGATCTAGAAAAAGAACGAGAAGAGAAAGAAAGGATCAAGTATGAAGAAGATAAAAAAATAAGATATGAAGAACAACTACGATCTCTCAAAGAAGCAAAATGTCTTTCATTGGTCATGGTAATTTTTTTTAAGGAATAAGTCAAGGCAGTTAAGTTAGTTAGCAACATTTCCCTTTATGACTAAAAGGTGGGTTTTAATAATGTTTTCTTAGGATGATGAAATGGAAAGTGAGGCAAAAAAAGAATCACTTTCTCCTGGAAAACTGAAACTAACGTTTGAAGAATTGGAGCGACAAAGACAAGAAAACCGAAAGAAGCAGGCTGAAGAAGAAGCAAGACAACGTTTAGAAGAAGAGAAGCGTGCTTTTGAAGAAGCAAGGCGGCAAATGGTAAATGTTTATATTGAAACCTTACATCGCATATTAGGGAGGGTGGTTGGCTTTAGATAATATAAATTTGAAAAGATTTTATATATAAAAGGGCCTGATTTTGAAATTGTGTATATATTTCATATATAAAATGCATCTGTATTGTTTTCTTGTTTTCATTTTGGAGCATTTTACCCAAGATGCTTTAAATTTTTATTTTTATAAATTGTTATTCATATATAAATTAGCAAAATAATTACTCAATGAACCTGGTTTCTCTTCATCTGTTAGTTCAGCCTGAAATGTATTTAATGACATGGGGGTGAGACATTTTTAAGTCTAATTGTAAGTGTACTTGGTTTTAGTACAGTTTTTCAAATATTTGAATATATCAAAATAACAGTTTATTATGATTCAAATATGCAGTTTAGGGGTGCAGTTATAAGGGGTGGGTGTGTGAGTGTGTGTTCATGCATGTTAGTATATATATATATTTACATGTAGTGTAGTAGTTAAAAGCATGGATTTTGGAGCTAGACTACCTAGATTCATTTATCAACCATTTATTAACTGTGTAATCATGGACAAGTTATTTAATCTCTCTATGAGAGATTGGTTTCATTTTTTTTTTTTTTTTTTAAAGACAGGATCTGGCTCTATTGCCCAGGCTGGAGTGCACTGGCACATTCATAGCTCAGTGGAACCTCAAACTTTTTTTTTTTTTTGAGATGGAGTCTCACTGTGTCCTGGGCTGAAGCTATTCTCCTGCCTCAGTCTCCTGTAGCTGGGATTACAGGCACAC